CACGGCAGCCCCGCTGCAATTAGTGTACACGCGCTCTAGCACATGTGTTGGCTTTGTCATAGAACGTGAATGAGATATTTTGACTGTCATCTTAACCTTCAAACACCAAGTACACAATATTTCTGTTTCTTGCTTGATCACCGACAATTGTTGAGGGCTATGTTTTGTAATGCAATAAATATCTTGCTTCTTGTTCCGAGAGTCCCGCACAAACATACTGAAGCGTCATCTGAGTGTCAGCCCTGAATTACCCCGCATAGTATGTTTCTATCTGCTCACATCAGCATGTACCCTTTTTCGATTTTTGTATCCGATGCAATCCCGTTTTCTTGGTTAAGATGACGCACGAATCTCATCACTCAGGCTGCGTTCAGTATGCTTGCTGTCGGACAGCAAAGTATCCGTCGAGTTCTGGGATATATATAACGCTAGCCATGAGAATCCCCAAATCAATCAAAACTTAATAAAATGCTCGTGGCTGTTCCTTGAAAAGGAAATGTGATAGTGACTTATCATATGAAATGTGGCACTTCAATCAACAAGTTATCCTTTTTGTTATCTTGTTTTTGCTCACAGCAAATATCGCGTCATCGCTGCTGAATGGTTTTCCGGTCGAGCAACTCCGCTTTGTGTGACAACCTATCATGATCAGAATACTTCTTCTTTAATCCAATTTATTGTATGGAGCATGCTTTTCACGCGTTGCCTCATTCACCTTGGAGCTACCACACCTTAAACATTAGGCTTAACTGAGACTGTCTTCTCGTATGAACAAATGTATATCTTCTGCATATGAAATAGACGTGTTAGCTGCAATATCATCCCTCTCATTAATGGGCGGCATCATTCCAACAAACATATTCAACCTTAGTGCGCTATCTAATTCACTTCCACGCTTAATTGCAGATTCTACACACCTACGCTTTAAGAACAACAAGTATTCGCCGTAATAGATAAATGATTCCGCTTTGCCTCTTTTCCTAGTGCTCATCTTGTGAACTTAGAGATTATGTCGCGGTGATTGCTGATGTTTTTGTACATGATGCTGCTCAAACTGGACATGTACGAAGGATTCCGACTACTCTTTGGTTGACATGATCTGCTTCTTCGTTATGTCTTGTGTTGCGATTGCAAATTTCGTAGGAAAAAAACAGAAGTCAGCAATTCTTCAACGATTTCGAGAAATGATCACGTACCATCGTTCCTTGCAGCTGATACTCAAATTGATAGACACATGGTATCTTAACATACCATTTTCGGATTATACCGTAAACTCTATAGATCCGGCAGCCGTGTAGAAGGCGCTTTCTTCCCTTTACTCATTCCACAATTTGCGCTTCACCCCATACCAAGCATTTCTTTTCGAAACGTGACTAAACTATGCGTGTTCTTTTGTGCCTCGTCATCGCTGGAATCGCCATGATTGACAATACCAAAGCAGATATACTCGACAGCCTTTGGAACGACGTTGAAAAGTCTGCAGATAATTTCAAGGAAGGAACGATCCAAAAGGTCGAGGATGATACCAAAGACTACGTCGACAACGCACACTCTAAGTATAAGGAAACTCGTGACGATGCAAAAGATCTACTCGACAATTTCCGGTCGGACGATGATTAGTGAATAGATTCTTGCTACTTTGAGTTTTTCATTGGAAATTCCAATCAAGTTTTTTGGTTTCTTAGCGTATTTAAACTTGCACAATACTTTCTTGGTTGTTCTACGATCAAATGTACGACATGACTTGTATGACGTTCAATGCTCAAATTTATCCCTCGAATAGAACGCAAGCTCGTTAACTTGAATCACTAATCCACCTTCTACTTCTCTAACGTTCCTAATAGCAACATTGTGATGAAGATTCTTTAATTTTGTGCACATATCGCTCTATATATCCCTACTCCACGTTCGATCCACGTCATCGGTATAGAGGCTATTGTCCACCTGCTTATGTATGGGGCAAAACGTGTGTTCAAACAGAGACAACAATGTCCAAATATTTTGCTTGACATCATTTAAAAAATCGTAAAGTACTCCTCTCCTTTTTGTTCCAAAAGAGACGTAGAGCGAGGGCCTCGAACATTCCATTGGTGTCATATTATGAAAAATTTAGATGCACCACCAGATGGAGATAGGCCGTCGTCAAACGTTGACAGTTGGCACTCTATGCGCTTGTCTTGGGATGGTCAATTTGTCGTTTAATTGTGTCGTCGAGACTTTAACAACGTTGGTAATGCATTTCTTTCACATCATATTGTTGTCGACACTTAGCGTGTACCTTTCAAGCCAACACATAAGGAAGCATTGCACCATGGTTCGCTTCATAACGGGTATCTCTCTACTAATTTTCGTGATCACAGTCTCCGGTGATGATGTTATGGATCCCATGGAAGTAGCTCTCGCTGCTACTGAAGATGCCACCACATCGATTCAGGAACCGGCAAATAATGGAGACAGTGGCGGGTCTCAACGCTCTATTGTTACTCTTGTCGAGTTACCCGAACCTAACAGAGTTGGCGCTATTTCAGACAGCATCAGCAATGTCACAGTTGAAGAAAACATCGATATCTCGAATTCTGAAGCATCCCCGGGCGACAATGAAAACCCGGATGATGAAGATACCTCGGCGTCTACTGCTCCATCAGGCTCGGAACCTTCTTCGGATTCGTCGCAAGTGACACCTGCCATCGTTCTGGCATCACTGACTGCTCTAGCCATTACAGGGCTTTTTGTCTGACCAACTTCTAAGGTTGAAACCAGACTCAACAATGTGTTGTAGGATCTTCATTGCTGACTATCGTTTTGATTGAACACGTGTATGTTTTTGTCGGTTCTGTCTTTTGTTTTCTAGTAATTGACGGTGTTATCATAGATGGAGCTCGACTATATACCACTTTTCAAACATTGATTTATACCGTCAGTTTTATCTACACAAACGCATAACCGAAAAGCATGCAAAGAGTTGTTTGGTCTGTTGACAATTAAATTTCTACCGACCTAATGCACCCGAACGCTAGATGTTCCTTAAACGCGCTTAGAGCAAGTAGATGGAGCCTGAACTCGTCACGGACGTTATACATTGCAACAGAACAAACTAATAGTTTGATACGACGAGATTCCTTAATCCGTTGCATGATTTCGTCGTATAAGATGAAAATATTAGCTAGTGCTGCGGGAATTTAAGTAGAGTGCAGTTCGCGCAATCAGATCGATCAGTCTTTCTTTCACCAGGCGAATCTTGTCATTCGATTACTCAATTTTGAGATCTAGTTAATATTCAAACGAGTATCTCGGGTCAGAATATTTTTTGTCAGAACTGACCGATTGTCTAGTACACGCAGCATGAAGAAAAGCATGAAATCGGGTCTTGAGTCTTTGATCAAGCTCGATTAGGCTCAAAGACAGCTCCAACTGCAACAGGTAACTATGACATGGTCGAAATGGACAAGGCAAGGGGAGAGCGCGATGCCAAGAAGTACCTCATCATTTTAAGCTATCACTATCTCGTGTGACCATGGAAACCACAATATTATTTGAAAGATCAAGCAGTATTTATCGAACTCAACATTGTTAGCTTCAAAAGGCCGATTACGATCTACTTAAGAGAGTGTCGCAAAAACAAACGGATCCGAGCCCCGTAGGCAGCCCAATAACTTAGACAATATTCGGGATGCTGAAGTCCACCACATTGAGCTACTGCTCACACTTTATGTCATAGGCTCGCTTCTTTATTTCAGGAATTGCCGGGACAAACATCGTACTGACTCAGAAAACGAGTAAATAGATAAGCACAAGAGATAAGTAAAATATCATGACTTAGGCTCACATTGTTTACCAAATCTATTATTTCTTCACAGGGTACTTAATCAATATGTAGTCCACTAACAAACGTCCCTGTGCTGGTCAGGGCGCCGGCGACTCCATCAATAACGCCATTAGTAGCATCTTTGGACGTTTCTGAAACACTATCTCCTAAATCTCCGGCAGCATGAACCGTCGCAGTCGCTGCAGCTCCAGTTGCCTCTCCAACTTTTTTGGTGGCATCGACAACAGCATCTGCACCGTCGCTGATAGCGTTTCCAGCACCACGAATGACATGC